TGCCAGCTGCTTGCGGCGAGAAGTGAAACCACGAGCCCCAGAAATCTTGCTAACTGCACGCTGCACAAGGCAGGCGGGGTTTCACGGCCCCGGGCTTCGTTCGGAACAGTCGCCAAATCGTGCCCATCGCATCTCCATCGATCAAAAAAAGAAAAAATCGCAAGAAATTCACAGGCGGCAGAAGGGCCCCTTTTAAACCGCCAGCCTCCAACGCCACACCCTTTGCATCGCTCACCCTCGAACCTCTGGCAACCACCTCAAATCATCTCGTATTGCTCAAGTGCTGAAGGACAACGGAGACCTCTGCTAAGCGATGCGCAAATGGAAGTGCGATGGGGAGCTGCAAAGTATATCCCTCATGATCACGACGAAGGATAACGGAATATACTTCGCCAAAGAGACCGTCGATTCCTTCCAAACAGCATATCCATTGCAAACTATCCTCATTTCTCAACATATCCTGCACTGAGGAACGCGGTCACTGTCCCATGCCATGAAAATTGCCATTCAGCACAACAACCACTTCAATGAAACTATTCGAGTACTTTCGTGTTGCAGTGTTTACGGTCCACCTCTGTCCAAAGCAGACCAAAGACGATGGCTCCATTCATTATTTGTTCAAACCATAACGGGATCGGCTTCCCTCCAGCTCCCATGTCCATCTCCATCCCACCAAACGACCCCGCAAACAAAATCTGCCATTCCTCGCTGCGATCTCGCTATCGACGAGACTCACCTCCCGCGGTCAGGTGCGATGCGATGGCTTCCATGCGGTCGAGGCCCGTCATTGTTGAGGTTTTTGTGCGTCGGGATTGGAGGTCAAGTGAGGAGGAATTTGGGAGCCGGCCTGACTTTGGTTTCGTTGAATGGAAAATTTTCTCCCGTTTATCGCAAGGAATTTCTGACGCTGAGCGATGCCACGCTTTTTGCCGTGATCACACACGTCGACGTTCACAGGACTCTAATGACCACGCTGAGAAGTGGGTTAACTACAGAAGCTGTCGAGTACTCCACGCCGGAGAAGGTCCCCAGCTTGGGGTTTATTGGGATACTACGGCTGGTGCTACCGCGATTGCGCTCCCTTCCTGGCCTCCCATTTTCAGGTACCGCTGCCACTCCTCCTCCATCCACCCGTGCCTTGACCAGATCACCTAGAGACGCAAAAAGCGCCTTGGTCACGGCTAGTTTGTTCCAGCAATTTCCTAGCTTTGAAAAATGGTCCATTCCGTAGCTGCCAGCAGCCAGCTCGAATAAATACCCCCCCAAAAAAAACTGATTTCACGTTTCTCCACCAGCTCTCTGATCACCCTTACGGCAGCGAGAACCCTTAATTCCAAAAGCTATACTTCCTTCCCGCTTCCCCTCAAAACTCCCTCCAGCAAACTCCTCCTGACGCTCATGAGCTCACTCCACGCCATGTCGAGACCCTGTGAATAGAGAGCCATCTTCTCCGCACACCGCTCAAGCACCCCAAACCACCTTGCACCAATCTCCCACCTCCCAGCGCCAAACCTCCCCGCAACCTCCAACACCGTGACATACTTTGCCAAAAGCAGCAAATCCCACTGCAGGAACCCGAGGGCCTTGAAGTGGCGATCAATGAGCGGGGCGGAGGTTCCTCCCCAATGCGTGTCGATACGTGGAGATGACGATGGCCCGGACCCGGTGGTATCGGCGGGAAACGGCGCGAATGGCGCGGCGGCGGCGGCGACAGAAAAGGCTTCCTCGCTCGGAAACTCGAATCCCTGCTCGTCAAGCTGTTTATGGTACCGTAACGCCTCGCTCCAGAATTCCACCATCGCTGCAAGGTGTTGGCGACACACAGCCGCGTGCGGTGACGCGGCCCAGGCGAGGAGAACAGGGTCGAACTGAGGCGAGAGGGGATGTGGGGGTAACGTCCCATCGCTTCCTGGTGGTAGTCGCGATCCGGGTGGCGTCAGTGGCGGGTCGGAAAAAAGGAACTCGATGGCCCACTTTGGGGAGAACGCTATGATGGCTCCTTCGCGGCACCAGAGCTGGCTGAATTCGCCGGCGCGGTTGGGGCCTGGGCTGGAGGCGCTGAGGGTTCCAATTTCGTGATAGGCTTGAAAGCTGGCAAGCCAAGTGTCAACGGCGGCGGCGTAGCGGCCAAGCAGCGGGTGGTGGAAATCGGGCATTGGGGCGGGGGGGAGGCTTGCGCTTGGGATGAAGGGACAAGTTCCTATCTTTGTTGCGGCGGGGGAGGGAATGTTGAAAGGACAGGGCCACAGCCGACGCGAGACCGTGGCTCCGCGTCGAAGGAGAAGCACGGCGGCTACTTCGCGTGACCAGAAGAAACTGAGGGATGAATGCGGGGTGGGGATGCCGTTGGTCGGGATGGTGGGGTGTAGGGGCACCGCAGATGAGGATTTGGGTGGAGTTGAGGGTGCTAGCGATAGGAAGTCAGTTTGGTGCCTTCCGGCAACGTTGTGAAGAGGTATCGGCGGCGCGTCGAGGGCCGTGAGAATTTCGTGAAAGTAAACCGTGTCTTCCGCCTTGAGAGGGAGGTTGAGGCACCAGGCCGGCTCGGAGCCCATCATGAGGAGGTTGGCGCTTTCTTCTTCGGGGAACATGGATTCCGTGTCCGACATGGCGGAGCCCTTTGCGTCGATCATGAAGAGGTACCACCTGGCGGCACAGCCGAGGGTGGTCCGCGGAGAAACCCAGCGGGAGAAAGCACAAAAAATTAGCCTCGGGGTCCTCCCGTCACGTCGAACCTGAAGAAACCAGAAAGGAAAGGTGACCGAATCCATACCAAAGCCTTCTACGAGATTCCCTCGCAATCGGATCGTGGATCCTCCAATCCTCACGGAACAGGTTCAGCTGCCTAGCCGCCGCCACCGCCATGGCCAACCATCTAAACTCGGGCGAGTCCGGCGAGATTTTGCAAGCGCTGAAGCTATAGGCTAGCAGCACCACAAACGCTTGAATAACGGTCACAAGCTTTGTTCCGGGTACCGATTCCGTTCCCTGGCTCCACGCAACCGTCGCATTATCGTCAATCGACGCCAAAAGCCGCACCACATCACGCCTTGCGCGCTGATAGCACAGCTCTGCCTGCTGGTACATGCGCATATAATGGCCACCCAAGGCCTCCATCGCCAGCGACAAGAACGGCGGCGGCGGCTCTCTCATCAACGTGTGGATATGAAAAATCGCAACACTGGTCTGCATTGCGCGGAACGAGGCCAAGAAAAGCACGTTCCGGACTTCTTCAGGAGGCAGGGGTGGTAAATCGTCGTAATCGGTCAACAACCGTCCGACCGAGACCGCTGGGGTTTGCGACGGGGCTAGCCCTGGTGTCTGCGAGGTATTCCGCGGGGCGATCACGGTTGCGGCAGCCGCATCAATTTGCTGTGATCTCCGCGAGTCGGTGAAGCTCCGATGAGGCTTCGCTCTGCGCTTTCCCTTTGTCGCATCGGTGCTGGGCGTCGCCAACACCTTGAGGGCTTCTTCTGGCGACACAAAAGAACATGGCAGGCCGCGGTCGGCGCAGCTGGAGCATATCTTCCCGTAACCTCCAGCATCCTCTCGCGCTGGAACACACCGGAGCTTGCGCTTGATGCAAAAGGTGCAAGAGCGAGGGCCGGCCGAAGAGCGTTTTCGTTTGGTCTGTGGTTGTGCGACGCCGTCGACGGAATGATGAGCGCCACCGGACTCGCTCGATGTTTGCGAGGAAGGATTGGGAGCTGATGATGGCGCGGCGAGCAGTTGCTGTGAAGGTGAGGTCGGAGCTGGCGGGGGAAGAGGCGTGGGGAAGACCTCGATGAGCTTTAACTTTTGGCCTCCTTCAGCGCTCAGCGGAGGTGCTGGGGCAAAGGTCAGAAAAGGATGCGGTGGGTGACTCGCGGAAGGGTAGAGAGCAGCTTCGACACTGGCTGCTGATCCGAACGCCTGAATAGCCTTTTCTTGATCGAGAAATACGCCGTCGAGCTCCGGAGCCGAAAGCAGCGAGTCCAACACCAGGTCCCCCGTGCTCGTGCTTCTTCGTGGCATCGAGATTTCCAGGAAGGCAGAGTCGCTGTCTGCTGAAACCGGAAACACTTCGACCGAAGATTGTGGCGATGTCGTTTCAGCGCGTGCCGGGCCAGGACCTCTCGCGGAAGGAAATTCAAAGGCCTCCTCGCCAATCAGTCGAAGCCGCTGCGGCGGCTCCGCCATGGCCATGAAGAGAACGACCGCCGTACTCGAGATGCCTTACGCGGATGTTGACGGAGGCACTTGCGGACGTCGTCGAGAGTCGGGAGAGGTTGGAGCTGACAACTGAAAGCGAAAAACCCCTGGAGCTGGCTTTCGATCGTGTCGTCGGTCGTGCAAGATTGAATCACCTTCGTAAACTCTCTTTAGCTCCCAAACCGGAAGGATTCAGCGGTCGCTGATGACGCGCTGATCGAGCCCACGAATATTTGAAGCGAATAATTTGCGGAGAAATCTGAAGTCGTCGGAGTTCGGACTTTGTTTTTTGGCGTTTGCAAATGCTGCTGGCGCTCGATCTGCGACGAAGGGGCTGGTGCTGATCGGGAGGGGATTATTTATCCTTCTGCGACCATGCGCTCCGAGCCCTGCCGCGGGATATCTCCTGTAAGCGGTCTGAAGGCCGTGTACCGGATCCCTGCGACTCCGCGCTTCATGTTGGTTCCAGCGACGCGGCGAACCTTTGCGAGTCCCAAGCGTTCTATCAGATAGATAAAGTTCCCTGACACCAGCAGCTGCTGGGTCCAATCTACTGACTACACCTAAAAGAATGAATTCGGCGGCCAACGTTGTCTTAGTGCCGACCGTATAGTGGCTTGTATCCGCCCCTGTCATTCGGATACCCAGGGAAAGGCTTCGGGTGAGTTTGCAGCGCTTTGCTTGCTGCATGAACCGTCTCCGTTGACATTCCGTGTAGCGTGTCGCATGTAAGTTGGTAACTGAACAAAAAAAGACAGGAAGGCTGCTGTGCGAGGAGACGGGATTGGAAGAGGAAATAAAGTGATAGGCTCCCAGTCCGGGAATTGAACCCGGGTCTCACCCGTGCGGAATCGGATATCGATTTGACAGGGGCGGATACTAGCCACTATACTAACTGGGAAATCGGATGACGCTGAAAACATGCCGCATTGGACCGGAATTGAACCGGTAATTCTGCCATTGCATTGGCCGGGAATCGAACCCGGGGCTAACCGATGGCAACGGTTAATTTTACCACTAAACCACCAATGCTGGTGTTTTCAGCTGTTGAAATGGAAGGGGGGCATACTCTACTATTAAGCAATATGTAAAAAAGCATTTCCAATTAGGGTAATTCTTCGAAAGAGCTTCAAACTCGCCTCTTCGGCGACGAAATATGGTGCGAGACATTTTTTGACACGTCGTCGAGTAGCTTGATAGCAACCGACGGGATGTAATCGGTGCATGCGAGCGTGACAAGAACCGCGTTTGGCCGTGGGAAGATTTTGCATATTGGGAAAAACATTTTATTGGCTGGCGTGAATTTCGGACTGGTGGGTAAAGTCCAGAGTGCACTGTGCTCGCCAATTGAGAACCGTCCAGGCATAGCTCACCGTTTACAACATACGCTTTTTAACGTAAGCGAGCTCCCGTTGTGAAAAATCTCTCCACAGGCTTGCAATAGTCAACTGGAGTAGACTGGGCATGCACTTAGAGCAACGTACCCCAGATTCTCTCGTCTATTCTGTGCATATCTCGACGCCCTATTCACAATCACAACCTCATCGCAACCCGCCTCATCTCCGCAGTCTCCCTCCGCGTCCACGTCCGCCTGCGCCTGCGCCATTAAACTTGCTCTCCACCTCGCCACCTCATTCCATAACCTCCAAAAATGCGGTGTGGCCCCAATACACCCAAACGCCCCGCCCTCTCAAATGTATCTCAGAGCTCGCTTCCTCCCTGGGCTCCAACGCATCCAGCACCACCTGTAACACCGCGCAGTAAATCATCGAGAACCCCAGGATACGCACATGCGACATTGACGCATCGAACCGGCAGGCTCGAGGGCGGGTGGGTCTCCAAGGGGCTCCGCATCGAAAATCGAACCCATGTCGATGGCGGTGTCCTGCATGCCCTCAACAAACAAAACAAATGTCGAGGCTTCGCCGTGGTGCCACTCACAAAGGCAAAGCTCATCTGCGCCAACGCCCCCAGCACGAGGTGTAGGCATGCACGGCTAGCGTCCCTGAGAAGCATCACGTCCAAGGCAGAGTCCTCGATGCGGCGGTTGCCGGCGCTAGAAAGCCGCGCGTCGCCGCGTGTGTGGTGTTGGGAGTCCGGCGTGGCGCCTGCGGCTGTGGAGGCAGCGTGCGCGCGGAGAAGCGGTAATGGGAGATCTGGGGGATGCGTGGAGTCCAGAAATCGAGGGTGGCGGCGCATTTGAGGAAGAGGTGGCCGGCGAGGGTGCAGAGAGGAAGGGGTGGGAGGTTGGGGTGGTGAGTTTGAGGACGGCGACAACGGCGTGCCAGAGGATAATGTCAGTGGGAGAACGGGGTGTTGTTGAGCCAGTTCGCTGCCCATGACGTGGAGGTGGGCGCAGAGGGATTTGAAGATGTGGGATCTCATGTGGGTGGTGAGGGCCAGGAAAGCGTCGCAGAGGTACAGAAACCACCTACAGGGTTCTACGGGTTAACTTTTGAAAGGGAGCTCGAGGAGCTCATGAAAAGAGAGCCTACCACACACGTCTCCGGAGATCTTCTTCGTCTGGATCCGTCAGCTGGTCGTCCTCTGCGCAAAATGCTATCTGGTTTACGCACGCCACCGCCAACGCCAGCCATCTCGCATCCGGCGACTCCGGCGTGCACAGCACGCAAAAGAAACGATAGATCTGCAGCACCGTCAGCATCGCCCCCTTGCTTGTTGTTCCAGACAATCCCAACAGCGCCAGAAAGACGTCCTTTGCAGCCCGCTGGAACAGCGCCTCGGCCTCGGCGGTGCGGCCAAACATCGACCGTGAGGGCCTGCAGGGAGATGGAGACGAACGGTGTGAACCGCCCTTGGATGAGGGCGTGGCGGCTGCAGTTCTCCAAAACGAGGCGACCATCGCGAAGAGCGCGTTGTGCATTTCGAGGGAGGGGAGGGGAGTGAGGTCGTCGCAGGGAGTGAGGAGGGGGTACGGCCGCAGATGGAGAGGGGCGGCTGGCGGCGGCTCCCCGGAAATCGAGACAGGCAGAATTGGCAACGGCCATCGGGGAGTTTGAGGAAGACTTGCGGCCGACTTTCGTTGGATGGCGGTTTCGTCCTGCTCTTGGTCGATGCTTTCGATGGTGCGTATGTTGATGTCGATGAGGACGGCGGCGGCCGATTGAGTCCCGGCCAGATCTTCTTTGTTCATGCAGACGCTGCCGCCGCCGATGATTTTGCCCCGATGTTGGTCCCCAGCTCTTGCGGCAGTTGGTCCTTCCTATCGCCTACATCGCCATCGGCAGCCGCCGCGAACGTTGAGCTGAGGGCATCGCCTCCAGGCGTAGCGCAAAAGGACTCAGCGCTGTTCGGTTGCCACTAGATCCGTTGCTTGTGGAGCTGGTGGTGGGTGAAGATGTTGCGAGGAAAGTCGAAAAGGTGTGCGGAGTCCAGCGGGCACAGGATGCCTGGTGCAATCCCTCTGACGCGAGTTGGGGGAAGGGACGAGGAGAACCTAACCTTATTTTTCTGCACAGACGAGCGGAGTTGCGCAGGCTTGTGACGGAGCGGAACTCGGAGCTCGTCTCCTCCTCCTTTTAGCATTTGGTTCGGTATCCGACCGTTCCGACGGGATTGAATCCAATGGGAGAAATCCGGGCATCGGCCACTGGATCTGCGACGTGGCTCCCAAGGTATCATCCAAATCCTCCTCCCCATCGCGCACCTCTGCACTCCTCAGCAAAAGATCCCATCCTGTCCTTCGCTGCAGCTGAAAAGTGCACGTCGCCCGTCCATCGCAGCGGAGCGCGTCCCGTGGTAAACAATGGCCCGGCGTCCAAGGATCTGCGCTGCTGTGGAGAAGAAGGTGGAGGAACGAAGGGGAGGGATCGCCGATCGATCGCGGCCAAGGGTTTGTGTGTCGCACAAACCACGGGGGGTGATCAGTGTGAGTCATTTGCCATGGGATGAGTCACGAGGGGCTCACAGGAGGAGTACAAAACAGCATGGGAGACGCCCCTCCCGCCCTCACAAGCACCCCTCTGCTCCTCCCCGCTCTCCCGCAAGACGCGTCGAAGAGAAAAGAGAAATAAAAGACACGCGCCGACGCGACATTTTCTTCCTTTTTTCCTCCTTTCCCACGAGTTTGGCAAACTGGGCCAAAAGATCCTCATTTTTGATCGCACCGCCTTCCCCGCCGTTTGCGCTCCGGAACAAAGAACAGCTTTCGTAGCAACCAACTCCGGACCCAACGAAGCCTCCTCCGCCGCCGTCGGTGACGTTCCCCAGCCACCCGACCGCTCTCTGGATGGGACATCGGCCTCCGGTTCAGCGCGATGCCTCACGGAAAGATGAACGCAGAGCGAGCTACGGCGCCGATCGAGACGACGAACAAATGCTTTGCGGACTGCCTTCGCTTCCGATCGCGCAGATCGCAGCGATCGGAGCAATCGGGGCACCGAACGAAGGTGCACCCTTACAATCTCTGAACGAGCTCGAAACGGCCACGGATCTGCTGTTAAGCTGGCCGTCTCCGTTAGGACATCCGGCAAGCGCAGCGCATGCGCTTCTCCCGCCGCCTCTACAGCCGCAGTCCACCAGCACGTTTCCGGCAAACTTGCCGTTCCCGATGGCTTCAGACACCGAGATCGCTTCGCAAGCTCCAATCCGCCAAGGCGCTACGGAGCTCGTTGCCGATTACGGCGCCACGGCCCTGTCATTTCCTCACTTCCCGAACGCGCAGAGCGTGCTCGATCCAAACCTGCTTCCTCAACTCCTCAATCCGTCAAAGCCGTTGCAGCCACCGCCCCAGGTGTCTCAAGCTCCCCCTCAAGCGACCGTGACGGACTCCCTCGCCGTTTCCGCGGCCCCATCCGCCATCATCTCTAGCGCGTCAAAATCCGGACCCCGTAGAGGAAACATCCCGCGATCCTGCACATTCTGCGCACGCCAAAAGATCCGGTGCAGCTACGACCCCGGCGCAACCTCCTGTTCGAGCTGCCTCCGCCGTAACATCCCCTGCATTCCCCGCCTCTCCTTCCACGCCGCGAGAACGAATCAACCCCCAGAGCCCGCCAAGCCCGCGAAACGCCCCCACCCAGCATCCCTCGACAGCCCCCTTCCAACCTTCGAATCCTTCCTGGCCCACCATTATCGGCCACCACCACCCCGCGTGTTCACCCCCTACGACGACCTCCCCGCGCTGCCCTCACCCGATCTCCGCAACCACTTCCTCCTCGCCTCCTTCCAAGAAGCCCAGGCCACCATATCCGTCTTTGATGGCCACGCCGTCCTCGCCCCGACGCTGCCGCCGTTCGTCGCACTCGCCCTCGAAGCCGTTGCAGCGCATTTCTGCAGAAGCTTCAACGAAGCTGACGCGCTGGCGGCCCGTGCGGCCCGCGATGCCGTGAAGATCCTTAACCGGATGGTGTTGAAAGGCCCCGCCGACGGGGACCCGGTCATCGCCATTCTTCAGGCCATGCTGTGCTTGACAGCGTTCGGCGTCATGGCAGGCAACATGGTGGTGGCCGGCGGCGTCGAGCTGCGGTGGCTGGCGCTAACTGTCGCACTGGCGAGGCGCATGGGGTTGAACTTTGAAGTGCCGGAGCTCCCATCTCTGGAGCGGGAGAGACGGCGGAGGATTTGGTAAGGGTATCATGCTCTTTTGCCGAGCTTTCGGCTGACTTTTTTTGTTTTGGCAACCCCGCAGGTGGTACCTCTTCATTATCGACGGGCTCTACGCCGTGTTCAACGACACGGAACCCACGATCCGCGAACACGAGGCGCTCCACCTCCGCATCAACGGCAGCGAGCACGCTTGGTTCTCCAATCCCCGCGAGATTGCTCCCGAAGCCGCCCCCTTCTGGGTGGAAGTCCTTGCCGCTGTGGACGCTCCACCCGCCCCCGTTTCCCCTCTCAGCTCCTTCTGGGCCCGCGAGCTCCTCGCCGTCACGCTCTCCC